CTTGCCTTGCCTTGCCTTGGGGCCACGCGCTGCAGACCACCCGAAGGGCAAGGTTTGTGCCGGTAGAAAGCGGAACACCCCCCTCCCCTTTCAAAATGGATCAGGAAAAGTCGAGGGCAAGCTCCTTTTGCGGTGGGTCAGGAGTACGTCGAAGACCCTGTTATCCGTCCAGATCTTTCTGAAAGGTTGTTCAAGGCACCTTCCTCCTCCAGCCGCGGCCGGCGGAGGGTGCGGAGAAGTCTGAAGTCACCGATTGCTTTATTGAAAGAATCGATCTATTGTCCCGGACGGAGGGACGACTCTAATTCTACGTACTACATGGAAAAACAAACACGGGGACGCCTTTATCAGCGCGTGTGAGTCGCCTCTTAGCTGATGATTGATTTAATCGCCGCCTGAGAGCCTCGCTCGAGCGGCAAAGATTATCGGAGCAGGTAAGAAAGGCGGTGGGGAAGAAACTCTGACTCAGCTTCCCCCTCGAGTGGCTGGTCATCGGGCCGGCTTCCTCTGATTCGCTGATCCGCGCCCAGCTCTACGTTTCATTGGCCACCCACATTCCCTATAAGGACTCTCCGCCTGCCCGGTTCATTAATTTAGCCGGCGGGTGGGACTGCCGCGTTTTTGCTGCAAGTCGCGAGCGCTGGTGTTGTAGCTGCCGCCATGAGGGAGAGAAGGACTCCTCAGCCAGTAGTGGCCCGGTGCAAGTTGGTTCTGGTGGGGGATGTACACTGCGGCAAGACGGCCATGCTTCAGGTGTTGGCCAAGGACTGCTACCCGGAGGTAAGCGGAACGGCGGGGCTCCGTGGCGACTGGGAGGGGGGGGAGAGAGAGAGAGAGTTGCCTTGCGCTTCCCAGCGGGTTTTGCTCCCTCCGCTTCCAGAGCCGCGCTCCGTTCTGTCTCTCTTCTCGTTTCTCGGGGCATTGGTACATTCCTCGTGCGGGACAGCTCCGAGGGGCTTCCCGGCGTGCGGCTTTCCCTCCAGCCAGGCGCCGGCTCAGGAGATCGACTTCGCCGGAACGGCGCCACGTGGCTCCTGGCCGTTCTCCGGGGCTCCGTCTTTCTATCCCCAGCCTCTTTCTGCCTCTGCGCAGATTTCGCGCCCCTTGCAGCTTCCCTGGAGGACTTTGCACGTGAAGGCTCTGTGTTGCTACGGGGCGGTTGCGGGCTGCTGCTGCCATTTCGTCCGTTTGCAGTCCTTCGGCGTTCCCTCCCTCTCCTGCGACTGGCTTGAGTTGCGGAGCTATTCCCTGATTACCTCTGCTGCTGCTCGATGCTAATTATGCTTTCAGGCTGTGTGCAAGCCCTCCGCAGGACCTGACCCCCATCTCCATTGCTGTTTGGAGCTCATGCGTTCCCTTTTGGGACTAAGAAAGCCATTTTGGCAAAGCTCCGTTGTTATTGCAACATACGCACTCTTGGGTTCACCCAGTGACTGTTCTGTATCTTCCCTCTATGCTAGACCTACGTGCCCACTGTTTTTGAGAACTACACAGCCTGCCTGGAGACAGAGGAGCAACGGGTGGAGCTCAGCCTGTGGGACACATCTGGTGAGGCATCTCTTTCCTTCTGCGCTTAGCTGCTCCTCGGGACCAACCAACATCCTCCCTTTGTGCTGCAGTGGAGTAGTGTAACTGGAGGACTAACTTGTAGGATCTGTTAGCTGGCCAAGAGACATCAATTCTGAAAACCCTTGGCTACAGATACTGCTTGGTATATGAGATGAAGAGGAGATCTTGTCTGTTCCCAATGACAAGACTTTTTAGTCTGTTTAGTTCTGGGGTATTGGAGACCGTACTGCAGGTAGAAATGTATGAAGATGCTTTCTATCATTTATATCTAGGAAGGAACAATACATGGCCTGTCTGGAGGTAGTTTTGAGGCAAGTAAGGATGTATATGTATTTTAAAGCTTCAGCACAAAGAGAGGATAATGTGTTTTGCACAGTGTTGCAACCTTGGACTAAAAGACATTTTTTCATTTATATGCAGAATTGAATCTGGCTCCTTAAGGGTTTAGATTGGGGGTGTGTGCGATGGGGAAATAGGAGAGATCAGCAAAAAGTAAGATTTTAGGGCTTGCAGCTTGACCAAATACCACCCCAGTCCCATTTTAAAGGGAAGTGGCTCTAGAAAACTATTTATTTGAGACTTCAGAACTGAGCTAAAGCCTTTCTCTAGCTTGAGATTAAATAAGAAGCACTGGTATCCCAGGCTTTAAGTAAAAATGCAGCAGTCCCACCCCTTCTGCCCTCACACTCACACCTGCTTTTTCCCAGTCCTGCTGACAAATCCTATGAAGGCTGCTAAGCCCCCTCCCCTCCATCTTTTTTCTCCATCCCCTCATTTCTCTCTGGAATGCAGGGGGGGTTGTGATTTGCCCATTGTTTAAGCACATTGAGGAAGAATCCCAGGGCAAGGGGTTCAGTGGACTTTGCAAGAGAAATCAAGAGGGGAAAGCAGCCCTTCACAATAAGGGGCTCTTGAAAGTATTGTATGTGTGGTGGAGGAGGTGCCAAGTAGAGTTCCCCTAGCAACTAGGGATGGGCATCATCCCCTCTTTTGAAGGGGACTGTAAGTGGGGGACCCTGGCTATTTGGATCCCCCTTGTTGCCATGGTGATTGTGCTGGTGCAGGGAGCCAGGGGCTGATTGCTATTCTAGGCACGAAGCGTCTGGGCTGCAGAAACATTTTGGATGCTGCGGTTCCGGGGTGGGGTGGGGGAATAGCCTGTGTATATTATTCATCTTTTCTCCCACCACCACCACTTTGCAGCCATCCAACAGTGCATTGCTATAGTCCATCCTCTGTTCCTGCATGTGTGACATGCCTGGAACACACACAACTCATTTTTCTCCATGTTCGATGAGAAATGTTTCTAGGCAACTCCATTCCTCCCCATAGGCTGCATACCCTCCTCATATATCTCTGCACCCCTTTTCACATTCAGTATTGCTTGCACGGTAGGTGGGGGAGAGGAAATAGCCTTTGTTATGTAAAACATGGTTGAACTATTTCCTGAGGAAACTGGACATTAAGGATGGGAGTGAGTAAGCAGAGCCCTGCAGAATGCTGGTTCCTGTTACTTTTCCACGCTACTCCTTTGGGGGGGGTGTTAAAAGCATAACGCTTAGAAGTGCATCTCATCCTAGCATTGGGCGGTTTTGTCATCTGGCGTTGGGGCAAGCAACTTTTTTTCCCTTGGCGATATTGGCAAAGGGGCAGAGAGGATGTCGAGCTACTTCATGGCTTTTCACCCTGCTTCTCGTAGGGTCCCCATACTACGACAACGTGCGCCCCCTGTGCTACAGTGACTCAGATGCTGTCTTGCTCTGCTTTGATGTCAGTCGTCCTGAGACTATGGATAGCGCACTGAAGAAGGTAAGGAAGGCGTCACCTGGCCAAAGGATCCCATTGTCCTACCTACTGGTCTTGAACTGAAGCTTTAAGGATGTTACTGTTTAAGAGGAAAATAATGGTTCTCCTTAAAAGAAAACATTCGTGACTTTGAGGTGCTGGGGAGGAGAGACTACATCCCCAAAAGTAAGGTGGACCAGGACAAAGAAGTAGCTGTAGCTTTAAAAAGCCCCACGTTTAATGTAATTTACATAGAATTAAATACAGTTAATGTGGTCAGTCACTTTGTATTGCATCATTTGCTTTTCTGCCACAGAATAAATTTCACTGTAGTAGCAAACATTTGAAATTACTCTGGAATTTGTGCCTAGGACTCTAAAAAGAATGCAGGACAATAAGCTCATATTTTGAGAAGGAAATTCCACATTTCTTTTTAAATGTGCGCCACCGTAAGCAGTATCACAACTAAGTTCACATATGTGAGCTTCAGACCTTTGAAGCTTTCCTGTTAGGTGCTGTCAACCATGTACTGTATTCATGAGAAGATCAGTTTCTGGACAAATCACACAAGCTTCTCTCCCCAGTTTTAGAAGAATGAGTTTGTATTTGATGCAACTCAGCTGAGAATTGGAACTGTGGAGCTCAAGGAAGCTGTAGTGATGTCTTTGGTGTGCATTTGAAAGGACCTTAACATTTCACACAGGATACTTGATACTCTAAAAAGCCTGTATACATTGTGGCAGAAAGGAAAATGGTGGCACCAATTGTTTACTTTGGTGTATGATATATTTTTTAAAACCTGGGATTGGATGGCAGGATATTGCCTTGCCATTGAGGTGGCAGGACAGTTTCTCTACCTAGATGATATGCTTTTAAGGCTTGTCCTAAAGGAGTTTAAAGTTTCTTTCACTGCTTTTTCTTTCCAGTGGAAGACCGAAATCTTGGACTATTGTCACAATACCCGTGTGCTGCTGATAGGCTGCAAGACAGACCTGCGTACTGACCTCAGCACCCTGATGGAGTTGTCCCACCAAAAGCAAGCCCCGGTCTCTTATGAACAGGTAAGGCAATCCAGGAGGCTGGTGCTGATCTGGATATCTGTAGAAATTCTGTCTTTGAACCTGGACCCTTCCTGGATAATCAGGCTTTCTCGTTTTCAAAATTGTTCTAGTTTACCTTCCCCCCCCACACACGAGATGACTAAAATAGTTTCAGGAATGCTGGACTTAGACTTGCATATGCTGATGAGCTTGTCATCTTTCATCTTCAAATATTGCTGTATTATAGGGATTGCCTGGAATGAAGCATTATTTCTATAAGAATATAAGACCCGTGCTGGATCACAACCAATTCCTGCAAACACACTATTCATTATCAAAGTAATGTACTAGAGGTGGGCGGCCATATAAATCTCAATCAATAAAGTTAGTCCAATGACGGTTATTCTAAGCTGGAGGTAGAAACCTGCTATACTCTACATGGTTTTTGACCAGTAGTTCTAGTAAGATTAATCAAGGACAAATGATTATGGGAACTGATCTAAAACAAGACCCTTGATTAGAGATGAGAAAAATGCTCTTTCATAGAAAGTGAATAAGATAAAGGTCATTTTACTTGGTCAACTCCTGGAGGATTAGGATAACAGTCCAGTCCTCAGGGAGATCCCACATGGATCCTTACTCCATGCCCTTATTCCTCTACTGCGCCTGAAGGCCCTACCATGAGTCCTGTGGATGTTCTGAAAGAGCCCTAAGTTCTAATGCCTCCTTTCTAATGCCTCTTCAGGGTTGTTCCGTGGCCAAGCAGCTGGGAGCAGAAAGTTACCTGGAGTGTTCTGCCTTCACCTCAGAGAAGAGTGTCCACAGCATCTTCCGGACAGTGGCGTCCATCTGCCTCGCCAAGCCTGGCCCCCCGTCCCCCAAGAGCCCTGCCCGAAGCTTTCCCAAGAGACTTCTCCGTTTGCCCAGCCGATCGGAGCTCATTTCTTCCACTTTTAAGAAGGAAAAAGCAAAAAGTTGCTCTGTCATGTGAAGGGCTGCAGAGGGCGGTGATGGAACCACTGTGGACTCTGGGCCTCCAAGTGGCCCTTCCAGGGTGGGATTCAGGGAATCGCTTGGCTCTTCCAGGCCAGAGCTGGAAAGTTAAGAAGGATCCAGTTTTCCCCTCTTCCTGTCTTGAGCAGGCCTGCTACCCTGGGGGGAGGGGGAAATAGCGAAACAAGGCTGGACGGCTAGAATGAAGATGGGCACAAGATTTGCCCTGCTCTGCAAGGTCTTGGGGCTTGGCACAGCAACATCTTGGACAGTAGCATCTCTGGTGACTATTGTGCATATTTGAAGGATTTGAAAAAAATCACTATGCTGCATTGCCAATGCACAGTATCTTCCTTTGGCCCTAGGTCGTCATCTCCATCTGCTGCTTGTCATATTGCCTGTTGGATGTGGACTGATTGCAAGCATCTCTCCTTTCTCCCCTTATCCCACCCCTTGTACCACTCCCTGTATCTAGGATACAGGTGCCCAGGCAGCCTTCCTTGTGGGGATAAAGCTGGGGATAGGAGGAGAGAATGACTTACTGTGGATCTTGTGTATATGTGGGGAAGGAAAGGAAATATGGGGGGAATCTGTGAAATGTTCAGTGTTATTAAAAGAGAACTTATTTATTAATGAAAATATAATACAGATTAATGGCCTCATTCAGAGGGCTTTCTTCTGTGGATCTTGTGTATATGTGGGGAAGGAAAGGAAATATGGGGGGAATCTGTGAAATGTTCAGTGTTATTAAAAGAACTTATTTATTAATGAAAATATAATACAGATTAATGGCCTCATTCAGAGGGCTTTCTTCTTTGCCATTATCTCTCTTCTGCTCTCCCAGTGATAGAAGAAACAAGGAGAAACTTTTTTTTACAAAACTTCAAATGTGCTTCCTTTCCCTCAAGGGCATGGGGTTCAGTCCCTCTTGTTCTAGCTTTGTGGGTTTTGTGCCAAAGGCCCTAAAGTAATCTTCAGGATCTCCAGATGACTCTCGCAAGGAACTCTGGGAACTGCCCTGTGTGGCTTTAGTCAATCAAAGTAAAGGAAACTAACTGCATGTGGGATAGGCAGCATAGGGCTGTTAAACTCCAACTCCCATCGGTCCTAGTCTCTTTGGTCAATAGAGAAGATGCTGGCATTTCTTTTTGGTTCCTGAAATGAATAAGCTCTTTATCTCAGCCTTGTATTCCCAGGCCAGGGTTTTGCTGCTGTATTTTGAATTTGGTGGTCACTTCTGTAAACGCTGCTATGCTGAAGGCCCCTGACTTTAAATGGAGAGCTTTAATTTAAACTCTGTCTCCCTTCTGTATGGTGATCATAAACTGCCCCAGCATAGCTTTTGTGGGCTGCTTCTGGCCTGGTTTTAATGGACAAACTGGGCCTCTATCCGGTGGCATCTGGACTATGTTTCTGGTAGCAATTATCCTGTGTATGCTAAGGGCCCCATGGAATCTGAGGACCTTAAAATGCCAGATTGGTGCAACCGCGACTGCAGGAGAAATACTTTGCTCCTGGAAAAACATCTGTTGCTGCTTCTATCATAGCAGCCTGCCTACCAATTATATATTTATTTAAATTAGATTTATTTCGTTGGGGAGTTCAAACCAGCATACCTAGTGCTGTCTCCTGTATTTCCCCACAGCAACAGTCCTGTGTTTGTGTATGTTTAATAGAACAGGGAATGATGGAAGATGCCATTATAGTGGGAGTGGGCTTGTATCTGCAGTTTGGCAACCAGATCTTCCTGGTGTGCTGATCTATAGATGACTGGTTAGTTAGATATGGGAGCTGGTCTTTTTTTTTCCTAATTGATCCCTATGTCTTCTCTGTAGCAGCAGCAGCTGTTGATGCTTGATGCTCATCTGCCAGTAGTTAAGCTTCATTATCCATTGGAAGTGTTTTGCAACAGAGCCCCAGACTGAAAAGGATACATAGGAACAGGTCACATGAAATCAGTGGCTTTTTTTTTTTACTTTAAAATTTCACAAGGCCCTTTTCACACTGACTTCGTGTATTTCTTCATTGTAGTGGGTGCAAAGTCATTTGGCCAGATCTGTTATTTCAGTGCTGCTTTGCTTAAACAGAAAGTGCGCCTGACAGTATAAGTGCTTTGCTACTCCTGAGCAGAAGAAAGAGGTCAGGCTTGACAGAGGCTGCCACTCTCCCGGTTAAGGAAAGCTGCTCCTGCAGCAGTTTGGCTTTATTATTAGACCTAAGGCAGTTCCTAACCTGGACGTATATAGCCTATGTAGACTCGCTGAGCCAGGCTCAACTTGTGACACAGCCATGCAATTCTCTTGACAATCAATGCTTTCCAGGATCCTTTTTCAGCTTGGTGAAGCCCAGTGTTTCACAACTTCAAGAGGGGTGGACTTCAGTTCCCAGAAGTGCCCAGCCAGCATGCTCGCTGGGGAATTTTGGGAGTGGAAGTCCACAGACCTTAAAGTTGCCAAGGTTGAAAAACACTGGGCTAGCTGCAACCCTGGAATTCCAATCCTGCTTAGCTTTCAGGCCCAGAAAAGTTCAGAAGAGGCCAAAAATACAATTGAATGTTGGTGGCAAGAGCATGCTCCTCAGTTAGAAAATGCTTTTCCTAGCTAATATAAGGTGGTATAGGCAGACAGACAAGTTAACCTGCAGTAACACATGAGAACCTCAGATCTACATAAGCTGGGCGTGCTACAAAAAGGTTACCTTTTGAGCATCAACTATTGAAATAACTACTTGTCAGCTTAGCATACGTCAGTTCCAGGCAATGATGCTAAAAGGTGCGACTCTTCTAGTCATCTTTGCATACGCCAGTCTGCCCCCACCTTCCAGATGCATGAACTTCAGTTCCTGGAATTCCCAGCAATCACTGTGCTGGCTGGAAATAGTACTCAAAACCCATTCAACTAAAGGGTGCTCAAGCTGGAGAAGGCTGGCACAGATAAAGAATCTGCTTGATCAATAAAAATCTGTTCAATATTGTCAAAAGCTGTGCAGCTGTAGGACCAAGCCTTGAATTCTGCCTCTCTTATTATGCTGAATGTGTTTGCAAAATGTAATATGGAAGAGCAATGACCCATTGAAGTGCTCTAAACCTGAACACCTGTTCCTGGTTTTTCCAACTGGCTGCCCTAGAGATATTAAGACTATAACCAGAATTTCAACCTAGTGGGACCAAAGGTCATTCTGGACGTTGCAGTCCTACCATGTCTAGAAGAGCCATTAGATGGCAGACACCTAAATGAGTTGAATTATGCTCCTACAGTCCAAATCACCAGTAGGCACCTCCCCTCAAGCTGGCCCACCTGCGTGAAGATAATGCTGGGCTTGCCTTTGAAGGTGTCTTGTCTCCCCTATATTTTGTGACCTTTGTGTCACTGTACTGTATGGTTGTGCTGTATTGTAACTAGCTCTCTAGGAAGTAGATAGGTCGACTAACAGAATCTGAATTCCATTTTTCCTAATAAAATGGTGGGTATGCCCTAGTCCTCTTGCAGACAGAAATAAAATGCAGCCATTCTTATCAAAACGTTTTGGAAGCTGGGGTTTAAACCTATTCGTTCTCCAGGCTTCCGCCCTACTTACTGCCTGAATTTTTTCTTTTTCTTTCTGCAGCACACTTAATCTGCAGTTGGGATACAGTACCACACCCACAGAGGTACATTTGAATAATCTTGTTGCTGTTGCAGAGTTGTGCTTGGCAAATAAAAATGTATTTTATTTGAAATCAGGATGTACAGTATTTAATACACACCCTCATTTTGTGAAACCTTTAAGACGTTTTCCAGGAATCTGACACAATTCTATCTATTTCTATTGGAAAGAAGAAATGGTAAAATTCTAGCTCTGACAAAATTACAAGTATTCTCTTGGGTAGGACTGGAATATATTCTTACCTCTAAGAGGGAGCAAAAGGTGACAAAAATGTCTAAACATCTCATCTTGCCTCAATCCCAAAGTCCTAATCGTCTACACTTTTGATGGCTTGTCCTATGCTAAACTGTTGCTGGGCAGTAACACAAAGTGTGCTGAACTTTATCCCCTAAGCAAATAGGTGTCTGCAGTCACATCCGGCCTATTGATTCTTTCTTGTGGATTTAGTTCAGATTTGCAAAATGAGTGTACAGGAGTGGATTATGTGAAAGAAGATTGATCATAGCAGTTTCCATGGGTGTAACTTTTCCCTGAGTTATATGGGGCAAACAGTCCCATGTTATGAACCATGCTAAATTAATTATTAGATCAGATGGATGTTGGAACTTAGGGAGCAGCAAGAAGGTGACAGGACAAGGCTGTATATGATTTGTATAACCTGCTTTACATCCCCTAAGCTAGCTTGCTCCTATTAGATATAATGGAGGATGCTGTCTTGACACCAGTGTCAAAGTGTCTGGTCAGCTATTCAACATGAAGCAGAATCATCTCCTTGTCCTTTGCTTCAGGTAGCAGAATGTCTTGGTCCAGCCCAGGTGGCCAGCAAAAGTAGAGAGATCCTAATTTCCAAACAATGGATGTTCTAGCATGTTTTGTTGGCTTGGAACTGAAAATTGAAAGCAAATAATGCAGCTAATGTAAAGAAGTCGTGTCAAAAGCTGGTAACTACTCTCAGGGAGTACGTACAAGGTAAAAGATGGCTCTCAGATTGCGTATCAGTTCAAAAGCTATTCAGTGTTCCATTCAACCTTTATAATACAGGTAGGTCTCAATTAGTGGGGTTAATGAATCCCACAAAATGGTCGCATTATTTGAATTTTCACTATTTGAAGTGATATTTCTATGGAAAATATAATTGGTTCCAACTCGACAGAAATATTGAAAATTTTTAAATTTTATATGCATATTAATGAAATATTACAGTAAAGGATAAAAAGAATATACTTTTAATTTAAATTTATGGTTTGTTAACATAGTCACAGAGTAGTTATAGAAAGCAAAATAAAAACAAAAAAATTCTACTGTAGATTCAGCCATTCCAATATCTTGTTCTTTTTTAGCATTACTATGACCATGTTCATATCATTCAATTACATCAAATTTTTGCTCAGATGTAATAACAAGCCTCATCTTTTTTAAACTTGTAGAGTTTTCCTCTGATGTAATCTTCATTTTCTCCATTTTGCACACACCAAGATGAGAAGCGTCTAAACCCCCAACCGCAACTGTGCCTGTACTGGTCTCCATTGCACATGTGCCAGCCTCGCATTAACTGAATTTTGGGTCACATTAAACACAACCTGGTATCAATTTGCAATTCACACTAAATCGAATATCACATTATTCGGAGTTGCACTAATTGTGACCTACCTGTATTTTGTTGCTAGTACAACTAAAAACCTGAAAATGGCAATGTAAATGTATGAGCTTTATGCTTTGCCTTTTGGCTGGAGTTATGGAGAACAAAATATGGAGTTTATTTCCTCCAGTGCTCACTGGGGAAGGCAGTCAGACCCATCCCTGACATCCTTTAAAAAGGCCATGGATTTAAACAAAGGGATAGAGCGTGATACTCGATTTTCATTACTTAATCTTCATTGCGTAAAATTCACTTCTTCACCTTCTCCCATGAAAATCCAGAGTCACTAGGTATTTCTGAAAAACACCCATATTGCCTACACTTGTAAGGGAATAGCCTGCTGTGTAATGATCTGCCACTTCCTACCCCCATTATCAAGGATACAACAAAGATGCAAAGTATGGAACCAGAAGTAGAACATGTTATGGCTTAGTGCAGTGTGTGAGCTCAAGTGCTCAAATTTCTTAGGTAAAGCAGAGATGTAGAGCCATTTAACCCCAGCTGTAATTTCTTAAAATATACAATTGTCCTTCCACAAACCTAAACAGTGTTTAGGGGCAGAGCACTGGTTTGTGTACAGAAGGTGCAGTCTCTGACTTCCTCATGTTAAAAAAGAGCAGTTAATGATACTGGAAAAGATCTTCCCTTGCTGAGATGTTGGGGAATTGCAGTTAGTCAGACCTAATCGCATAGCACTAGATGGATATATAGTTTGATAGGATGTAAGGCATACTGTGTGTGGTTCCTAAAGGTACAGAAACTAGACTTCTCAGAATTTTGGTCAGTCGCACACTGCCACTCAGAATGATTCTGATCTAAACTGGCAAACTGTCTGGAAAGTCTAGCACTTCCATTTAATTTTCAAAAGAAGGAAATCTAGCATGTGCATTTAATTTTCAAAAGAAGAAACCTTTATTCATATTGGTGGCTTTAGTCAAAAAAGAGTTGTGAGAGAGAATCAAGAGAATCAATCCTTTCAACAAGATTTTGTAGTTATTTAAAATAAGAGGAATAACAAACTGGAGTGCATACATTGTATTAGGAACCATGAAGATGAATTTAAGGAAATGCTGGCGCGATTAATGAACAGAGTCGAGGAAGCTATAAGTAAGAAATTGTCCCTCAGAAAAGAAAGGATCAAATCCAGTGTTATGTGAAGATATTAATCTAATAACAGTTTCTTTTCCTCCCTGCCACTAGATCTGTTCTAGAACAGATTTGGTGAGAAGGGATGCACAAAGGACTTTGGGAGCAGAGGAATGGCAGAAGTGATGCCTGTTACTTTAGAGCAAGTATACTGTTAGATACCCAGACGTTTTGCCTAAATGATAAGGAAAAGTAGCTCAAATTTACAAAATAAGTTCATGTGCAGAAAAAGAATACACTCAGCAAAAGATTCCACTAGATAGTGAGTTGTAACAGGCAGTGTATAGCTATCAAATAGGAAACCTCTAGGTACAGATGAAATATGCACTGAACTGTTAAGAGCTGCAGGGGAAATGGCAATTAAAGTGCTAACTGCCCTGTGTCAAGAAATATGAAACAAAACTGTACAGCTTGGAGAGTGGAAAATATTGGCGTGGATGTGTATACAAGGAAGCAAGCAAGCAATTGCCGCTCATCAAACCATTGCAATCATTCCTCACACAAGCAACGTTTCCCTAAGAATTTACAAAGAAAAATAGAACAGACACAGAGGAAAATGTGAAATGGACATCTTTTTAAAAAGGCAGAGGGACACATGAACAGATACCTAATGTAAGACTGATAATATATAGAAAATACAGGGGAGTTATCTTTGCTTCATTGGCTTCTGTGTGGATCACACCAGAATATGGAATATATTGCTGTAAAGCTAATAGGTGTGCCTGAACCTGATTATTCTTTTGAAGAACCTTTGCAATGAAGAAGCTGGTTTAAGAACTGAGTTTGGAGAAACAAAGGGGTTCAGAACAGGAAATGGAGCGAGATAAGGGTGGCTATTGTTCCCATTTCTGTTTGTACAGCCAATATGAAGAATGGCAGGATTGGAAGATAGGATAGCTGGAATCAAAAGAGGAAGTTGAGACATCAACGATGTGAGATAAGTAGATATTACTTTGTTAGCCAAAAGTAAGAAATGCTGAGTTGATTGTGAAAGTAAACAAGATGGGTAGAGATCAAACTTCTACATGGCTTAAACGATTATTGATTTTATGTGTTTAGTGGTGTTCTCAGCTGTTACTATTGTTTCCCAAGGGACAGAAAATGTAGGAATGTAATTTAAAGGATGCTAGGAGCTGTTTCCTTTTTGGTGACCCGTTCAGCTAGGACTACCAAATCTGGTCTGCAAAAATCTGGATGCTCATTAGAAAAAGTCTTCTATAACGCACTGCGGTCATCTAGTGGTCGCCCAAATTTGTATAGCGTACATCCGGCCATTTATTGCACATCAGTCCATGCGGAAATGCGATCTCCTGTACGGAGAGTAAATGCCTTGCAGTCTCCGCAGAACAACGTTTCGCCGTATGTCTCTTCCTCGTTTCTCACACAAAGGCCTTCTGGGAACTGTAGTTCTCCAACCCTCAAAAGCTGATTTGGTGCGGTGCATGCTGAAACATTAACCATTCTCGTGTGGCCTCTTGGGATTTGCAGTCTCAACCCAGTGCATGAAGGTGGAACGTTAGGCTGGATGGACTTGCTTTCCCATCATGCTGCATGGCAAGGCCCTGTTGTGACCGGAATGAGGTTGACTAAAATGGCGGGGCGATAGAAGCGCAGTGAGTGGTTACCGACGTCGAGAAACGTTACAGGTGAGTTGGATCTTCCTTTTGCAGGAATCTTTTGCTGTCAGAGGCTACAAGCAGAGGAGAGTTTTTAAGAGCGGGAACGGGAAGAATTGGGGGTGGGGGTTACTTTGTTACCAAGGGCCAGCGCAGCAATCTCAGGGAAGTGGGTGGCGATGATCAGTGTCCCTCTCTTTGTTTTCAGTGCCTCCCTTCCCCGCTGGACTCTGCGAGAGGAGGAAAGGCGAAAGGGCCGTCAAGGAAGCGCAAAACGTATCTTGCTTTTTCATTGGCTCCTTTCGCGCTCTCAGCTTAAGCTGGTTATTGAATTAACGTGTTTCAATATGCGCAGAATACATGGAATCATAAGCTAACAAAATGGGCTCGATTTATAGAACAGGCTAACCGAATTTAGCATAGTGAGTGGGTGCCTTTTCTAGTCTTTACCTGTTCTCCGTAAATGTTTTATGTGAATCTAATGAGAGCCTCCTGCTTCTGGGATTGTGAGGACAGACTTTCAGAACAGAAAAGGTTTCCTGCTAGAGTAAAACTTATTCCCCCCCGCAAAATATTTCTGTTTCTAGCTTTTTAGAGTAAGATAGTGGGAAAATCCTAGAATAATGCTGAGATTCAGGATTCCTGGGTTCTATCCAGTTTCTGAGAGAAAAGTGAAGCCTTAGTTATTTAATTTTTACAAGAAAAATATGTGGTTCACTTTGCCTCAGAGACTAATAAACAACTGCAATTACAGTACTATCTTTTGGTGCTTTGTATGCTGCCCATTTTTTCCTGCATAGAATTCCTTTGAGAACTTATGTTTTATTTTCAATTTTGCTCTCTTTGCTTGGCTTTTCCTCCAAAAAGCTCATGGTGGCATCCATGATTTATTATTACAACCTTGCAGGAAACATCAATGTAATTTTCATGGAATATGTATGTAGGTTGCCAAAGATGAGAATTGGATGTTCATGTTTTGCAGTATGGATACAGTACAGTGGGGCAAAAAAGTATTTAGTTAGCCACCAATTGTGCAAGTTCTCCCATTTAAAAAGATGAGAGAGGCCTGTAATTTTCATCATAGGTATACCTCAACTATGAGAGACAAAATGGGGGAAAAAATCCAGAAAATCACATTGTCTGATTATTTGCAAATCATGGTGGAAAATAAGTATTTGGTCAATATCAAAAGTTCATCTCAATACTTTGTTATATATCCTTTGTTGGCAATGACAGAGGTCAAACGTTTTCTGTAAGTCTTATTTGCAAATCATGGTGGAAAATAAGTATTTGGTCAATATCAAAAGTTCATCTCAATACTTTGTTATATATCCTTTGTTGGCAATGACAGAGGTCAAACGTTTTCTGTAAGTCTTATTTGCAAATCATGGTGGAAAATAAGTATTTGGTCAATATCAAAAGTTCATCTCAATACTTTGTTATATATCCTTTGTTGGCAATGACAGAGGTCAAACGTTTTCTGTAAGTCTTATTTGCAAATCATGGTGGAAAATAAGTATTTGGTCAATATCAAAAGTTCATCTCAATACTTTGTTATATATCCTTTGTTGGCAATGACAGAGGTCAAACGTTTTCTGTAAGTCTTATTTGCAAATCATGGTGGAAAATAAGTATTTGGTCAATATCAAAAGTTCATCTCAATACTTTGTTATATATCCTTTGTTGGCAATGACAGAGGTCAAACGTTTTCTGTAAGTCTTATTTGCAAATCATGGTGGAAAATAAGTATTTGGTCAATATCAAAAGTTCATCTCAATACTTTGTTATATATCCTTTGTTGGCAATGACAGAGGTCAAACGTTTTCTGTAAGTCTTATTTGCAAATCATGGTGGAAAATAAGTATTTGGTCAATATCAAAAGTTCATCTCAATACTTTGTTATATATCCTTTGTTGGCAATGACAGAGGTCAAACGTTTTCTGTAAGTCTTATTTGCAAATCATGGTGGAAAATAAGTATTTGGTCAATATCAAAAGTTCATCTCAATACTTTGTTATATATCCTTTGTTGGCAATGACAGAGGTCAAACGTTTTCTGTAAGTCTTAGAACTTGCACAATTGGTGGCTGACTAAATACTTTTTTGCCCCACTGTATGTGCATGATACTGGAATGCACTGAGTGACAATCATGGTTTTTTGTTACATGAAATATTGAACTGCTCAAGAACATGATATATGTGTAAGCTTTATGCTCACATCACCCCCTATATTTACAAAGGAAAATAATTGTTTGTAACAGAAAGTACCCCTATCAGTGTATATGGATCTGAAACAAATACTGTAGAGGTTAACTAATTTAAAATAATGTCATATTGATTTATTTTTAACAGACTTTTTTTTTGAAACACAGGTCAATAGGGTTAAAATTAAGTCATGTGGCAAGTCTGTGAACATCTCAAAAGGCAAGATGGCCTTAGTGAGAAGAACACTTGCAAAATACTCCATACCGTGGGTATATAGCATGCAGCCCTCTAGATGTTGCTGAAACATAACTTCTCAGTCAGCTTGAACTATCATGAGAGATGTTAAGCAACATCTTGAGGGCCACATGTTGTGCATCTTTGAGATTCTGGGTACAGAAGTTAGGACAAAGTACAGCTGGGAAAGACGTTTATCTGTAATATTGGAGTGTTGCTGCCAGTCAGATGGGTTTGCTTGATATTAACTAGCTTTCCATGTTTGTTGTCATGCCTATACTTTATAGAGAAGATACCTTGGATTCTTCTTTAGGATTACAGGCATGGAGAATTGAGACAACAATTACATGTGAGAATGGACTATTACATTCTCCCTTCCCACTGTTTTCCTTTCCTTCTACATATTAATATAATCTTCCTAATCTAGATGGCTGGGGAAACCATTGAAAAGAGAGAGAGAGATTCTTCACCCATCAAAGAAGAGCGGAGGCGCTCACGGTCAGCAGAAAGAGAACGTGACCGGGAGCGTGATAGAAAAGTCTCCCCTGTTGCTAAGGACAGAAAACGACACCGCTCTCGTGACAGGAGGAGAGGTAGTCGATCAAGATCCCGATCTAGATCCAAATCAACTGAGAGGTAATGTGCATCGTTGTATTGAGAGGTAGCTTTTTCAGTCCATTTTGTCATTGGGATAATTTGATGTGATCCATTTTGAGTGATGACATAACAGGAAATGGGGTAGTTGTGATTATTTTGATTGTCAGTAAGAGTGATCGTTGATTTTTATGTTCTTGTCAAATTAAGTTCTATCACACTGACACAGAAATTGGAATCGTGCATGTCTGTGATTGGGTGACTATATATTTGTTGACAATTTCTGTGCTCTGCTTTTCTGTCTCTCCTGTATAAATGCAACAGCTGTATTTCTACAGAAGCTGGTTTGGGGGGTATGGACAGACCATAGAGGAGGATGCTTTCTGAATGTGATGTTTCTGAATAGTAAATAAACTCTCCAGAGTTAAACCAGATAATAGTAGGCTTCTGCTGTTTAATGGAATGAGAAGCATTGGTTGGAGCTGTATACATTAAGAGGTGTTCTTCACGCAAATCATATGTTTGTAGAGAGCGGCGATATAAAGAGAGGGAAAGAGACAAAGAACGAGAACGCAGTAAGAAAGATCGGGATCGTGACAAAGATGGGCATCGAAGAGACAAAGACCGCAAACGATCCAGGTAAAACATTGCTTTCTTCAAGAGAAAGAAGCTGCTTCAGAGGTGTTGCAGTAATTGTAGAGGGATGCTTAGAGTAATGCAACCATATCTAGAGGCCCACTAATAACTATCACTGGTTGACAAGAATTAAGAAATCAATCTCAAACACATTTTATTCAAGACTTAAGAAATAACATTTGCTGAAATTGTATTCCAGCCATGATGATAGGACTAGAAAATTTGTTGAGTAAATTGTCTTGCTAGCTACACACTATTCAGAAATCAGCTGTGTGAACCAATGTCTCTTGCTGAGCTTTTTTTTTTAAATACTATTAGTGGTCTTCCAGTACATATATTTTGCATAGGGCACCGAAAGGCATACTTCTACTTGTCTTGGTCCCTTTTAATTTAAAGTGTAGTCATAACTGAAAAAATGCATTCAGGAAGTCTGTAGAGTATATTCTCGTGGTATGGTTCCATAATTTTGTTTGCCATGTGCCTCCCTTTACTGACATGGTGAGTTCCCAAATTCTTTCCAACTTTGTGACAATGTGAGGATAATTTTCACAGACCTGCAAGGTTTCAGAAAGTCTCTAAACCCTCCAATAAAGGGCACAACTGTAGCTTTGGGAAAGGGCTAAACATATTTTCCTGCTGGGTATATTTTGGTAGATGAGTGCTTGGAATTTTTGGAAATTCAGCATTAAAACCATTTTGCAAGTTATATGCAAATATATATATAAATAAATAAAAGTTCCCCAGACTTTCTCTTCAGTTTCAGAGAGGATCTTGCGGTTTCCTTTATTACTTCTCTCCAAGGCTTTTTGAAGCCCAATATCAAAAGAAGGCCTGGTGCTGATAGCTAGAGAGGAGCATGGGTATTATCCCGCTTGTGCTAGATTTTCAGGGTATAGTGAATGCCTTCAAAACTCTGTGAACCTGCAATAATTGTTAGTTTCCAATATTGCGAGGAAGGGTGGGGCTTCTTACATTCATTATATTTTAAAGCATCTCTGAAAGTTCCTCATTCTGAGCTGGGATCGCTGGTTTCATTTTTGAATTGTGGCACAGTTTTAGATCAGTCCAGAATCAGAGCTTTGGAGGGTATCAGGAGATTGTTCCAATCTTGTCCTCTGAGTTGTGATACCAGAAACAGAATGACATTCCTCCCAAGGGTGAGAGGCCTCACACTCACATATTTTTATTTGTTGTCAGTGCCAGGCAAAATGTATGGATTCTGACTGGGGCAGAGCAAGGTTGCTTCCCTTTTGACTCTTTCCTCTCTGTTTCAGGAGCATTTCCCCAAGTCGGAACAAAGATTCCAAATCAAGGAAAGACAGAGACTCTCGCAAAGATGAAGATGATGATTCATTGTCCAAGAAAGAAAAGGTACTCATGCATCTTCTTGATCTTCAGAATAACTGTCAAGAATGCACTCTGATATTAAAGAACAGTTATTTTCAATGATCTGCTTAAAAAGAATAGCTTTTATGCTCTTCAATTTTTTCTTTTCTGAATTTTGTGGGCTGCTCTTATCTAGTCCTGTCCACAGCCACGTAGCTTTTATAGTAGCAGCTCCTGTTTTTAGTGACTATTCTTGGTACCTTGATGAGCATCTGTATTGTTCACAGGCTCAGCCGCTTTCTCTGGAGGAGCTGCTGGCCAAGAAGAAAGCTGAAGAAGAGGCTGAAGCTAAGGTGAGTCCATGGAGCATCTCTCCACTTTCTCTGCTTCCAAGTATCAATTAACTTTTGGAAGACCTGATGGAAGACATATTGGATTACAGCAGCCTTTTCCAGCCTAGTCTGACATGTTATTTAGCTGGGAATTTGTGGGGGTTATAGTCCAACATACCTAAAGGGCACCAGGTTAGAGAACAACAGATCTAGGTGTGTCTTAACATTATTTCACTTTTTGGTAACTTGAACAAAAGGATATTTCTTTGTACTCCATCTGGTTGTGATTTCTTGCAGCCCAAGTTCCTTTCCAAGGCAGAACGAGAGGCAGAGGCCTTAAAGCGTCGGCAGCAGGAGGTGGAGGAACGACAGCGGTTGCTGGAAGACGAGAGAAAAAAGAGAAAGCAATTCCAAGAAATGGGAAGAAAGATGCTAGGTACATTTTTTTCCCTTGGATATTGTGCAATTTATCCACAAGTTGTATGCTCTAAGTTTGTTTTCCTGATATTAACTTTGTGAAAATCTATTATTTACCCTACTTGTAGAAGACCCTCAGGAGAGGGAGCGGCGTGAGCGAAGAGAGCGCATGGAACGAGAGACCAATGGCAATGAAGATGAGGAAGGGCGGCAGAAAATCCGTGAGGAGAAAGACAAGACCAAGGAGCTGCACGCCATCAAAGTAATGCTTGCTGGCTTGGGCAGCTGCAGCCCGCTGCTCAAAAGGGGATGGGGTTCGTTGGAACATCTGTAAATTAGAGTTGGTTCTGATCACCTCTTCCAACTGTTTCATGAATCTCGGCTCCTGCATATGAGTCCAAGATAAACACTGCTTAGAGAATCAGGGCTGAGAGATGAACTTCAGATGAGTAAAGCTGAAGCCTGTTGATAAAGGGTTTGAACTGTGACCCAGGAATTCCTAATTTTGCACCCCTGCCATTAGGTGGCCCTATACAAATACATTATTTGATCCCGTTAGCTGTATTGTTTCTTCATAGAGAAGATAGGATAGGATAAAAACTGAATGTGGAAATGTCTCATCCCTGCCAGGAACGATATTTGGGTGGGATCAAGAAACGGAGGCGTACTCGGCATCTGAACGACCGCAAATTCGTCTTTGAGTGGGATGCTTCGGAAGATACGTCTATTGACTACAATCCTTTGTGAGTGTTTCTTCAAGAGGCAGAGCTACAGGAGGGTCTACTGCTTCGCAATATGGACTGGTCTCAGCTCAATGACGCGGTGGAAAATGTTTACTCCTGCCTTGTTTCTCCTGGGAAGAATACAGTGAAGGGAACGTGGAAAAGCATTTTGGTGTAATACAAAAGACCAAGGACAGTCTTACCTCTATAAGGAAGGGATGGATAAGGAAGTCTTAAGGATTTAGATTTACACGGTGTTACTTGTCCTGCAAGAATTTAGAATTTCCCATTGATATAAATTATGCAAATTTATGGAAAACAGATTCATTTGCCTACTTGACTTGGGCAGACCACTTGCATTTGATAGTTAATCTTGTTCCCAAACCCAGCTTCCCATGTTCTCCCAGGTACCCAAAGGAGCCAGGAGGAGCAAGTATCTAAACAAAAGGCAGCAGAGCTCCTGCAACCAAAGAACCTGCCGTGTCCTCAGGTTCTGCAAGCTCAAAAGAATCCCAGGTTGAGGTGCAAGATGTTTTCCCACTTATCTCACTTGGCTCTGCCCAGCTGGCACCCAAAGAATGCGTGAGTCCTGGACAAGCTATTAGAATGTAGAATAGAGAGCACGAGGTTAGATTTACCATGAGGCGGCTTTGTGTGATCATCAAGTAGCAAGTTGGCATTTGTACAATATGTGCACGGGAGGCATTGGCCACCAAAAGAGCATTTTTCATCATTATGCTGCCTATACATTATTATGTAGCTCAACGATTGATCTTTGCTCCATGGTTTAACCAAAAATTCAAATTGGAGGTTCCCAACTTTCTGAAAACTTCTAAAAGGGTAAGGCGAAAGGCTTACATGTTAAAGTGCATCATGGCTTGTTGACATATCCCTCAACAGGTATAAGGAGCGACACCAGGTTCAATTGCTGGGGCGTGGTTTCATTGCTGGCATTGACTTGAAACAGCAGAAGCGGGAACAATCACGTTTCTATGGAGACCTGATGGAGAAGCGGCGAACACTGGAAGAGAAGGAGCAAGAAGAGTAGGTTTCATTCAGGGTTGGTGAAAGATGTTGGGAATTGAAAGGATTAAGACAAGAGTCCCCACTATGAGTGACACAGACTTACGCTTGTGCAGTTTCACTGGATTTTGGTGTTCAAATAGAGATGGAAAATGTATTCTAGTGCAATGCTTTGCAAAATATTACAGTAGCAATAAGAGGTGGAGAAGTAATGTATTGGAAAATAGTAGAATTTGGGCTAAAGCAGGGAATTGGAAAGATCAAACAGCCAGTATTTCTTCTGCCAGTTTTGCAAAAAAGCCTCCATCCTTCAAATAATCAGCTAAAGAATCTTACTGAGGGGAATTATATGAATTTTGTCATATACTCTATGTTTTGTTGGTAATCAAATCCTATAGTTTTGGGGATAACCCTAGCTGTGCAAAATTTCCTCCGTGAGTATTATTGTGGGGTAAATGTTTCCTGCTGCTTTTGTGTTTATTGGTTTTGTTTACAATAATTTTGCCTGACTTCTTGGGATTAAACTTTCTCTCTTGGCAGGGCGCGTTTGCGCAAGTTGCGTAAAAAGGAGGCTAAGCAGCGGTGGGATGACAGGCACTGGTCTCAAAAGAAACTTGATGAAATGACAGACAGGGACTGGCGTATCTTCCGGGAGGATTACAGCATCACCACCAAGGGGGGCAAGATTCCAAACCCCATTCGCTCCTGGAAAGACTCCTCATTGCCCCCTCACATCTTGGAGGTTATTGACAAATGTGGCTATAAGGTGAGAGATTGTTCAGCTCCTGAAGCTGATTGGTTCTTTGGTTTGTTATAATGATGTCATTTTAAAACTAGAATCTGCATAGGGTATTGTTTACTATCAGTGTGAAATAATTTAGCTTTGCCATTACAGGTAGACAGTGAATCCAAGACACTTGATTTAAAAGTAGGGCGATGGTGGCAGTAGCCACAACTGAAGATTGCATTTCCTGGATTCTGTTAAAGGTGCCTTGACCTTGGATGATTTCTCTTAAAAAGGTCAGATGTATCTTGACAAACTCTTCCTTGTTTTGCACAGGAACCTACTCCTATCCAGCGTCAAGCCATCCCTATTGGTTTGCAGAATCGTGATATCATTGGTGTAGCAGAGACTGGTAGTGGAAAAACAGCTGCCTTCCTTATTCCACTTCTGGTGTGGATCACCACTCTGCCCAAGATTGATAGGTGAGGGGGTTGGGACATCTGTCTAGAGAAGAAAAAGACTTTGAGGAGATTGGGGATAAATATTAAAGGGTTGATATTTGTCCTGTATATCAAGTACTGATACAATAAACAATGTTCTGTTGGCCATTCTAAGAAAATTCAATCATCTCCCTGAATTTTCAGTTCTGTGTGATGGCAAAATGGAGAATTGCACTAAGGGATTCAATGTAAAAAATGTTTTGTGCAGGAATGAAGCTTTTTCCACAATCAAGTGACGCTTCCCAGGTTATAGCATAGAATGTGCAAGGCTACAGTTACAATTTGATGTAGAAGTTAAGTTTTGGTCAGAAAAAAGGTTACTCTAATCCGGCATTACTGTTTCTGACAGAGTTCAGTAAGATGCTTTGGGGAAGCTCACAAACAAGACATGTTAGATATAAGCCAGATTGCAGTGCATAAATAGTCCCCTGCTCACCCCCTCCTCACTTTCACTTGCAGTGACCTTATTAGAGTTCCTTGTTTCATGTGGTTCACCCATACTCAACCGGACACCATTTGGATATGTGGACTTCCGCACATTTGGAAGAGGCCCTGATTGGGCAAACTTTGCCATAGTCTATGTAAAAAACTGCATGACTTCATTCAACAATTGCCACTAGATGAATTAGGAATAATCTGGTCCCGTGGGAGCCCATTAAGTCTCATAATCCAGAACCCTAGGAAGTGCTTTGTCAAAGTAGGAGTAGAAATGACGGGAGACTTGCTTTAACATGTTTCAAGATGATTTAGCTGGACCTAGATTGCAAGGATGTTAATATATGTTAAAAAATATTCTAAGTTTTCACAGTTCAGATTGACACTGTTTACCATTCACCTTGCCGTGTTTCTTCACTGCAGGATTGAGGAATCAGATCAAGGTCCCTATGCCATCATCTTAGCTCCCACTCGTGAGTTGGCTCAGCAAATTGAGGAAGAAACCATTAAGTTTGGAAAGCCCCTGGGCATTCGCACCGTGGCTGTCATTGGTGGGATCTCACGTGAGGACCAAGGCTTCCGCCTCCGCATGGGTTGCGAGGTGAGGTCATAATAAAATTCACCGTGCTTCCTAGTCACTAATGCTCGCTTTGTAGATTGGCAAAGTGGCCTCTGTAAAAGGTAAATGACAACTATGCGTAGCTTAATATTCCCTTAACTCCACAGCCTGGCTCAGTGTCCCCGACTAGACACAACTCTGAGAAGTGCTACTTTGTTTCCAGAACTTGTTGGACGAAGGAAGGGAAAGATTAATTTTGGCCTTGAACGCCAGGGCAGACACAAGCACGTTTCTCCTCTGAATTCCAGATTGTGATTGCTACACCTGGCCGACTGATTGACGTGTTGGAGAACCGCTACCTGGTGCTGAGCCGTTGTACCTACGTGGTATTGGATGAGGCTGACCGTATGATTGACATGGGTTTCGAACCTGACGTGCAAAAGATTCTGGAGCACATGCCTGTTACTAACCAGAAACCAGATACTGATGAGGCTGAGGACCCAGAGAAGATGCTGGCCAACTTTGAGTCGGGCAAGCATAAATACCGGCAGGTTGGTGGTGTTTAGATGTCTTGTTATCAGCTCTGCTTTTTTAAAAAATACAACAATTTAAACTGAGTTCCACCTTTTGACACAGAATTCTGCCTCTTAATCTCACCTGGTCAGCTTTCAAATGTAAATGAGTTACACATGATGAAAAGGAATTTTCTTCTGGTTGGGAGTTGAATGGTCATGGCAATTATGGAAATACTTTAGTAATTGCATGCTATGATGCTTAAGAAGCTGTGTTCACGTGAGAGTTCAGATGTCTTAGTGCAAAGGAAAAAGTTGATATAGGCTTTCCCAATAAGGAAAACAGTTCTCAGAAGTGTTTTTTGAGAGGTTTTTGTTCTGTGGAATAAGAGGCAGAAACGTTCTATGGAGTAAGAATCTTTGTACATATTATTTCTTTCTCTCTGTGTCCTGTCTCCCTGGTAGACTGTGATGTTCACAGCAACCATGCCGCCTGCTGTGGAACGTCTGGCCCGCAGTTACTTGCGCCGGCCAGCTGTGGTTTATATTGGCTCAGCTGGCAAACCACATGAGCGTGTGGAGCAAAAGGTCTTCCTCATGTCGGAATCAGAGAAGAGGTAAGTATTAGTATGGGAGGTGAACAATAGGAACTTGGGCTTGTTTAAAGACATAACTTTTCCATAAACTTTGAAGGTAAGGAAAACAAGTTTTATTCTGTTTTTCTTTCTTTTATTCTGAGAAAAACAGGGACTTTGGGAAAAATTGAAATATATCCAATATTCATTTTTGCCACCCTTTATTAATCTAAGTTTCCTGTCCTATTTTAAGAATTTAAACAGCAATATGAATAATTTGGTTTACTCATACACTTATATTTTGTATATTTATTAAACATAAAACTAATTTGGTTGGACAATTATTATATTTGTTAGTTGAATTTACTTTAAAATGTTTTAAAAATTTAATTGGCACCCCCTTTGTGCTTTTTCTGTCCTCTGAAGACTAGTCCAGAGAAGACCCACTGACCTCTAGTTCAGCAACAGACAAGTCCACAAGCAAATCAGGCACTACACCCCTTTTTGGTGAAAGTGCCCATGCCCTGCCCCAATGGGCAGAAATGCACCTTTCTCGTTCATTGGAGAGCTGTCCTGTGCTGCTTGTCCTTTGCTTACGTGACATGAAGCACTCTGGTATTCTAGATAAAAATCTGCCCGTTACAAGTTTAAACAGTTTTGAGAAAGTAACATGTAGCAGTATATGACCACCTTGTCATTATTGCCTTGGAGGGGTTTTTTTTCCTCTTCAGCACAGCATGTCTGCTGTTTGTGTATCTATTTGAAATAAGTGCTCTGGGCAAATAAATTCCAAGGCAGGATTATGTCTGTGGGGTTTTTGCATGACGGGGCATTAAACTATTCCTAAAATGGTGGCACAGAGATGAAAAAGGCTTCAGCATACTGTGATGTACGTGTACTACTAGAGCAGAAAGCTAGGATGCAGCAGGACATTTTAGCTTAATATGTGATATCTTCCAGCCCCAGCTGGAAGATCCTACTTCCTGCTTATTCCTTGCCGTTTTCCCCCCTTTCACTTACACAGAAAGAAACTCTTGGCTATTTTGGAGCAAGGTTTTGATCCGCCTATCATCATCTTTGTCAATCAGAAGAAGGGCTGTGATGTATTGGCCAAATCCTTGGAGAAAATGGGGGTGAGTTGCAATCCTATTATAGAATTGCAAATCTGTGTTAGGGTCAAGGCTTGCTAGGGTTTCCTGGGCCAGTTTTTGAGGCATCCAGGCTCCCAGAATGGAATGTTTCTTATGTTTTGGACAGTGTGTTTTTTCTCTCTTCTGTTCTGTTGCAATCGACTGTTGAGCAAATAGCGAGTAATATGTTTTCATGAATTTCATAAACAACTCTCTGTCTGCAGGAGCTTTTTATCTGGGCACTTTATTGCTAAAACAGGTCTGTCCCTGCTGCCAGTTATATTTCTCCCTAAAGTAACTTGCAAGGTACCTCTAAAATTATATGGAAATGGTCGAGCTAATTCTTCTGCAGTCCCCATATATTTGCCTTTGAAATAATCAATATTAGTTCCTGCCTGCTTCTCTTCACCACCACTCCCACCACAACTATTTGACTGTTCTTAACATGCTGTTCTCCCTATCTCTACAGTATAATGCTTGCACCCTTCATGGTGGTAAAGGTCAGGAGCAGCGTGAATTTGCCCTCTCCAATTTGAAGGCTGGTGCCAAGGACATTTTGGTGGCCACAGATGTAGCTGGTCGTGGTATTGACATTCAGGATGTGTCCATGGTGGTGAATTATGATATGGCTAAAAACATAGAAGGTGAGCTATCCATTATTATTCCTTTCCTTCAAGTTCCCCTGTCTATGGAATATTCGGTAGTTCTTTCCTCTGAAATAAATCAGGAAGAACTGGTGTGTGTGGGTATGTGTGAATATCAGTAAGGCAGGGCGGCTGGAATATTAACAGCTTTACCTCCAGTCAATCTCATAGGAATGTGGATTCTCCTAGCAGTACACTGCTGAATGCTGATGGTGAATCATGACAAAATGCATAAACCATAAAGTATGTAATTTAAATATTTTTCCAGTTGCATTCATACTAGATAATTTTGACTAAACCAGTACCTCTCAGCAACTTGTCTTAAAGGCTAGTCCCAGGATTGTTGAAATAATGTAAGGAAAGTACTTTGACCCCTGAAGTGCTCTATCGGTTGTTTACTGCTCTCTTTAAACTTCTTTATGCTTCTGTTAAGTGATAGCCATACAGTTCTCCTGAGTCCACCGGGTCTCCAGATTGCATCCTATATACCAACAATGTCTGTGCCTTGACAACTTAATTCCTTCTTTGTTGTAGATTACATCCACCGTATTGGTCGAACGGGACGAGCTGGCAAAAGTGGTGTAGCTATTTCTTTTGTCACCAAAGAGGACTCTGCTGTCTTCTATGACCTTAAACAAGCTATCCTTGAGAGTCCAGTATCTTCATGCCCCCCAGAACTGGCCAACCATCCAGATGCCCAACACAAACCAGGAACCATCCTCACTAAGAAGCGTCGGGAGGAGACTATCTTTGCCTGAGTGTGTAGTTAAGCTACAAGGACCCCCCCCCCCCCCCCCCCC